TGGAAAACACCACACAAAGGCTGCTTCCCCCGCAGCACAGGGGACACTTTGTGACCATTGTTTTCACCTAATGAAGATGAGTTTCCAGCTGTCACAGCACCCAGTGGGCTTAAACTCTGTCTGATAAAACATATCGCGGCACTGCATCCAGCCTGGCTGTTTGTTTCTAAGTAATTTCAGATAAGAATTGGTAAATTAAAAAATCAGGCAACATCCACTTTTAGAATCCTGTTAAAAGAATGTAGGTTACTCCTGAAAAATAAAGCGAAAGCTAAACATTCCTTCAACATCTTTAACCTCACATGCAACTTATTCCCTGCTCGTCTCTCCAATCCCATTTGTCATGCTTGGTGTGACTGGGAACAACGCAAGAAAGGCCTGTGGGAATGTCATGGCCTAAATAACTGCTATGGATGACAGACACTTGTGCTTATTTTCTCAGTGACTTTTCCCCACCACCCATGAGTGAGGCAGGAGAGACAGCACTGCCCCCATTTTACAGATAAGTAAACTGAAGCACAGAGATATTCATAACATATCCAGTACCACATAGCAGATGTCATCAGGATATGACTTGAAGATTGCTTGATTCCAAAGCCCAGCCTCATCATACTTTTCACCAAAAGACTACATTTAATGAACATTTTTAGTGACAATTAAGATTGTGGATAAGAGAGTAACATCGAGCAGGCAAGGTAAGATTGAGCCATTTATAGGCTCCACTAGAGAGTTCATAAATAGCTGCAATTGACAGATTTCACCGAGGACAGATGGCAGTTTTGGCTGGGATCAGCTCGATTCCTCGAAGGGAATTCTGTGCTATCAGTGTTGGTCTTTCCTCCACACATTTGGGCTGGCTCAGTGTGGAGTGGGCTGAGAGGATTCATCTGGCTTGATGTGAATCTTAATATTTCACAATGTCAGAATTGAAATAAAAGGAAAAGTATGTCCTTTCCTCTTTCTAAAAATACTGCCATGAAGAGACATGAAATGTAGCTTGAAGAAAAATAAACCTGGAATTCTTATCTTCTGTTATGGATTATTGATACTGGTGGCCAATAAACAAGTTATATTTTAGGCTCAAATTAAAGTCATTTTTTCCTTCCAAACTGTTCCAAATCTAATTGACCAGGCAATGTTCCACTTTATATTCTTATTTATTTAAAGGAAATATAGTCCATATGTTTCACATTCATTTATACTTAACTCATCAAAATGCTATTTGGCAACAGGCATTCAATGTCCCCCAGAAGATTCTTGTGGTGCCTTTGATAAAATTTAATTCTTACAACCAAGAAATAATATTTTTCCTGGAAAGAAACAAAGTTCTCAAAGGGCTCTAGGTCAGTTCAAAGCTCCATTCAAAATGGGTTATGAAAGGTTAAGTTTGGAAGAATGTTTTGGTATAATTCACTGCTCTCTAAAACTGCCAGTGGAGATTGCTGGATAAGGGGTTATTGGATTCCTCAAACTGAGTAACTTAACATCTACTGCCCAAATGAAGAGATTAACAGATGACTATCCTATTTACTAAAATGTGTAATGATATGTTTAAAACATTATGAGCTCTGAATACATAGTGGAACATTGGATATTTGACTACTAAAAATTAAGAGCAAATGACTTATTGGTAAATAATATTGCCAAGGGCTTTTAGATTAAAAAAAATGGAAATATATATTTGAAAATAATAATGTAAACATTTCATTAAAATGGATACAAGACAGAAGAAAACACACATAAACACACATATAAATGGGAAATTAACATATGCAAAAATATTTGGTTCTATTAAGAGTCAAATGCATGCAAATTAAAACAATGAGTTATAACTTTTAACTAGCAAATTGGAAAAATGATGTTAAAATATTAAAAGCTACCAAAAATTTTTTGATAATATTTTGGTTGAAGTGTAAACTGGTACAGTTTTCCTAGAAATGCATTTAACTATATGAATTTTTATTCTTAAAAGAGTTCATATCCTTTCATTCAATAAACTTCTAGGAATCTATCCAAAGTGGTGGACAAAGATTTATATGCCAAACTATTTATAGAATTGCTATTTTTAATAGCAAAAATAAAGCCAATATTTCTAATAATAGAGTTAAATAAATTATGGTTAAATAAATTAGGTACATTGCATAGGCTATTAATCATCTACTAACGTCACATTATATAGTTTAATGTCATGGGAAATGCTATTGTATAAATGGAAAAAGTAGGGGAAAAAACCCTTTAATATATAATCCCAATTCTGCAAAAACAAAACCAGACATGCAAATACATGAAACACATATTTAAAAGAAACCAGTTGTTATCACTTGATGATGAGAATATGTGATTTTAATTTTCTTTTTTTAGCTTTCTGCATGTAAAAACAATGAGTGTGTGTTAAATTTATAATCATAAAACACAATAAATATTGCTTATATTAATAGCATTCTTACTGGAACAGATAAATAAATTCAGTAAAGTACAAGGATACAAAGTAAATATTCAGAAATTGGTTGTATTTTTAAACACCAATAATGGATTATCAGAAAGGAAAACAAAAAAACAATTCCATTTAAAATTGCATAAAAAATACCTAGGAATAAATTTAACCAATGAGGTAAAAGACCTGTACTGAGAAAATTATGATACTGAAGAAATTAATGATTCAAATAAATGGAAGCATATAGCATGCTCATGGATAGGAAGAATGAACATTGTTAAAGTGACCATACTATGCAAAGCAATCTATAGATTCAATATAATTTGTATCAAAATACTAATGGTGTATTTCAAAGACTAGAACAAATAATTCAAAAATTTATATGAAACACAAAAGACCCTGTATAGCCACAGCAATCTTGAGAAAGAACAAATTTGGAGGAATCACACTGCCTAGTATCAAACTATACTGCAAAGCCATAGTAATCAAAATAGCATGGTACTGACATAAAAACAGATATATGGATCAATGGAACAGAATAAAGAACTCAGAAATAAACCCATGCCTATATGGTCAATTAATATTTAACAGAGGAGTCAAGACCATACAATAGGGTACAGATGGCATATTCAATAAATAGTGTTGGGAAAATTGGACAGATATGTGCAAAAAAGAAACTAGACCACCTTCTTACACCATATATAAGAATAAACTCAAAATAGATTAAAGAATTAAGTGCAAGGTAAAGAAAAGAAAAAAGAAACAAATGGGACTACATCAAACTAAAAAGGTTTTGCACATTGAAGGAAACCATCAATAAGTAAAGACAAACCACTTAATGGGAGAACATATTCACCAATGATTCATCTGATAAGGGGTTAATATCCAAAATTTATGAAGAACTCAAACAACTCCAAAAAAACAAACAATCTAATTATAAAAATCGGCAAAGGACCTGAACAGACACTTCTCCAAAGAGGACATACAGATGGCCAATAGACAGTTAAAGAGATGCTCGATGTCACTAATCATCAGAGAAATGCAAATTAAAACCATAATGAGACATTTCATACCTGTCAGAATAGCTATCATCAATAAATCAACAAACAAGTATTGATGAAGTTATGGAGAAAAGGAAACTTCGCATATTGTTGGTGGGAATGCAAATTAGTATAGCCACTGTGGAAAACAGTAGGGAGGGTCTTCAAAATATTAAAAATGGAGCTGCCTTATGACTCAGAGATTCTACTTCTGGGTATGTACCCAAAGAAACTCAAAACACTAATTTGAAAGAATATATGCACCGCTATGTCATTATGGTGTTATTTACAATAGCCAAGTATGGAAGCAGTCCAAGTGCCCATTGTAGATGAGATAAAAAAAAGCTGTGGTACATGCCATGGAATATTGCCTTGTCATAAAAAATAACAAAATCTTACCATTTGTGACAGCCTGGATGAACCTAGAGGGTGTTATACTAAGTGAAATAAGTAAGTCAGAGAAAGATAAATACCATATGATTTCACTTACATGTGGAATCTAAAGGACAATATAAACAAACCAACAAAACCCAAATAGACTCATGGTTCCTGGGGGAAGGGAAAGTTGGGGAATTGAGATAAAAAGGTGAAGAGATTTAGAAGTATAGATTGGTAGTTAGAAAATAGTCATGGGATGTAAAGTAAAGCATAGGAAATATAGCCAATAATATTGTAATAACTCTGTATGGTGCCAGTTGGGTACTGAAAATATCAGGGGGATCATGTATATGATTGTCTAACCAGTATGCTATACACCTGAAACTAATACACAATAATATTGAGTATAAACTGTAATTGAAACAATTTAAAAAAATTTAAAAATAAATAAAAGAAAAAATAGAATTCTTTGAATTTTCAGCAGGCTAAAGTGGTGGAAGTAATATATTCACCAAAAACTGAAATGGTCTTCTTTGGGTTTTGCAATGACCATTAAATAACTGACTCTTTTTCATTCTATGTCTTCATGGCTATAGCATAGACATCTTTGAAAAATAATCTTTCAATAAAATGTAATATCCTGTCTTTATATCCTAGTAAAAATAATCCAGAGGAAGCACCAGTCATTCTCCTTTATCAGTTAAAAATATGCCCATAATTGCCCTGGCTGGTTTGGCTCAGTGGATGGGGCGTCAGACTGCGGATTGAAGGGTCCCAGGTTCGATTCCAGCCAAGGGCGCATGCCTGGGTTGTGGGCTTTATCCCCAGTGGGGGATGTGCAGGAGGCAGCCAATCAATGATTCTCTCTCATCATTGATGTTTCTATCTCTCTTTCCCTCTCCCTTCCTCTCTGAAATCAATAAAGATATATTTTTTAAAAAATGCCCATAATGAATATCAGAAGAGTTTTCTGATTTCTGAATATAATGTAGTTGAGTGTTTCTTTAAGATATCTTGCTCTTTAGTTTGATAGTAAAGTAATTTTTTGAATAAGCCAGTTAGTTGAAGAAAACATCCTTTCAGAAGGCATTTTCCCCATGAGTTCAGAGTTTATTGGTTTGATTTATCTTCCTCATTAGGTAGACAGGAATTTGGATGCACAGCAGAAAATGTGGTTGAGAAATTGGAAAGCTACTACAAACATACTCTGTTCTGGAGAGGCAGTATGAAGTGTGCATTGAAGGAAGACCTGGGACTGCATTTTAGCTCTGCCACCTCGAGGGTGAGTGAACTTGTGCAATCATGTTGTAACTTTTATCTTGTCTATCTCAAAGGGTTCTTGTGAAGAATACATGTGCTAATATGTGTGAGCTGTTATTGTTATCATACAATTTAAAGTTGATGGTAATAGAAACTAGGCTCTTGTCTTACCTTACTATTGATGGGTTGGACCTGAAGTTTCTTGGTAGAAGTTATTCAATAGTCACTGAAATTTCCAATCCAGTCCTTCACAAATGTTCCTAGAGGTTTTAATTTAAGTGTGAGAAATATGGATTCTTTACCTTTGTTTGCTGGTAGCCATACTCTGTAATCCCTCTGGAAGCCCTGAAGCACAACTATTCTTTAAAACATATTTATTTTAATATGTTTATAGTAAACTGCAAAAGTAATAAAACCATGAGCCAGACATCTGTTTACTTTATAACCGCATCATATCTATGTGCACCTTAATTGAAAATAAGTCAGCAAACTGAAAAGTAATAATTTGTGAAAAAAGCTGTACATGCCCTTTTGTAATGTATTTATAGTTTTGAAAAGTTAGAAAGGAAAACTATCCTGGATCAGGAAGTGTAGTGGAGCTTCCGACTGAGGCGCTCTCAGTGATGGGACTGGAGAGAGACCCTCACAGGAAAGTGGAATCTGAATTTGGAGAAAGTAGTTGGCAATTGTGTGTCACAACAACCCCATGATGGGATTTTAAACTCCAGGCAGCAGACTTTAATCAGCCTGGACAGAAAAAAAAATAGACAGTTTAAATCCATGAAGGAACAAAGCCATTTCTGGGAAAAAAGTAAACATTTTTTCCTTATCAGACTGGAAAAAAATGAAGGTCAGGAACGCTATGGCCACTGGGGCAGGCCAGATAGTGAGGGAAATGATGACCTTTTGGTTGATGCTTTGGCTATGCTTCCTAAAAGTTAAATTTAGATTTCTCAATAAGAACTTATTTTCTCGTTTAAGTTTTGTTCTAACTGAGGTATTGTCTTTTCATAATAATCAATATTCATTTTTATGTAGAAAAACTTCAAGTGGGCAAGTGTTTATTTTATTCTTTTAAAAAATGTGAACTGAATACCCACTCAGTAAAGAGCATTTTGCTAGTCTAAAATTTTATTATAAAATTAATAGGCTCATGAATAATTCAGTCTAGAGGTCATTAGATGGGAATGAGCGAGAGTAGGCTACTGTGTAGGAAGGTGAGGGAGTGGAGTTGGGTGGGGACAGGCTGGCATGGGAAGTCAGAGCCTGAGTAGGATGAGAAGGGCATCCCTGGGAGGAGAATGGGGACGTATGGGAAGGCTGACCCAATAAGTAAATAAATTTAGGATAGTGGTTTCGTACTATTTAGTAAGAGAGTTATAAATGTGGAAAAGAGGAAAACTGTAATCAACCAAGAGATGCTAGATTGGAATTGGAGGTATTGATGTGAACTTACTGCTTTTCACACATACACACACATTTCCTAGCTTTGGCACTGAGAATCCCAGAGCAGTGACACCCCAGTCATAGCAAGCACACCTAGAGCTGGGTCTTCAATTCTTAGTACCATTCTCCACTAAAAGGAGCTATGATGACTTGGACAAATGACTGATTCTAGGACCGGGGTGGAGAAAGCAAAAAAAAAAAAAAGCCTGGAATATCTTATTGTCCCAGGATGTAAAGGATACTCAAGGGAAAGGACACAGAAGCCTCATCAAAGGACAGAAAAACTGGGATAATTTGAGCTTCAGAATAGATGTCCATAAAATTGTATCATTGAATAAAATAGTATCTATGAGCCCATACTAATATAAATAAATCAATGGATAAATAAATCAAGAGAAGTGAATGCTGACTAATAGATGTAGAAAGAGATAACCATTTGGCAACATTACAGTAGTAATTAAGCCAATAAATATCTATGGATATTAAAAATAAGCATATGAAAGTTTGATAAGAGAAAATATTCATATCGTCTCAAAAAGGTACTTTCATAAAATATTTATACATTAAGGAAAAAAGTAACTTGAAGAAACCTAGAAGATATCATCTTAATCCAATTATCAAAATTAACCTTACCAGAAAAGGGACAAAAAGAAATTGTGGCCACTTGATAGAAAGACATAGAAGAACCAAGTATCACTTCTGAGGGATTGCTGCTCAAGATGCAGAACCTGAATCTAGTCCTGAGAAAGCACTAGGCATATTGGGAGACATTTTAGCAATAACTGGCCTGCAATTTTCAAATGTCAAGGACATGGATGTTGAGGAAAGACTGGGGAACTAGTTCAGATGGAAGGAGACTAAAAACACACAACCGAATGTTATAATATCCTTTGGATCCTTTTTGCTATAAAGAACATTATTGGGACAATTGTTAAAAATTGAATGGGGTCTGAAATTAGTTGGTCATGATGTACCAATGTAAAATTCCTCATTTTGATGGTTTTATTGTAGTTATGTAGAAGAATGGCCTTGTCTGAAGGGCATTTACACTGAATTGTTGTGAAGCAACATTTTGGTAACTTACACTGAAATGGTTCCGGAAAAAAAGTATTTTTGCATTATATTTGCAATGTTTTGTAATTTTGAAATTATTTCAAAGTAAACTCATCTTTAGTATAAAAAAATGAGTAAGAAGTGGCCCTGCTTTCAGGGAGGCTATTTTATAGTAGAACGGCCAAGGCAATAAAGATGAAGTCAGCAGAGAAGAGAGGGAGGTGGACGGGTGACATGGTTACCAGCAAGGGCTCTAGAGCCAAATGTCCCATGCTTTGTGCCTCAATCATAGTTCTGCCTGTACCAGCTAGGAAGCCCTCGGAGAATGACATGAAGCTTCTGGGCCTCAGTTTTCTCCGCTATAAAAAGGGGATAATAATAATATAATCCCATAGGGTAATGAGAAGTTTGTAGAGCACATGGCAAGTGCATAGTAAATGGTAGTTATTATTTGTTATTGGTGATAAGCTCTGGTTATTTGTAGTCAGAGAGCTGCATCTAAATTCTTTCTCTGCTACTTTCTACGAGGCCTTGAGCAAGTTACTCAGCTTTTCTAAGGCTCAGGTTTTTCATTGAAAATAGCAATAATAATCATGTTAATAATAGTATTAGAGTGGGAGTGAGACTTAAATGAGATAATGCACAATGCTTAGCACCTTGTAAGCACTTTATATGTGTTACTTATCGCTACATAAACACAAAATGAAATGTAATAAATCCAATATGAGAAATAAAAAGCATGTGGCAGTTCTGAGGAGAAGGAAGAAAACATCTGGGGGAAAGAGGGAAAGCATTTGGTTGTAGAATTCTCTGGAACAATGGAGAGATTTACACTATAGTTGAGAGATGCTAAGGCTAGAAGAATGGCAGTGGGAAGGGGAGAAAGGAAGGTGGTGGTCAGGGGAGAAACAGGAGTCAATGATCTCTGAGCTAACAGACAAGGGGAAGAGCTAGTGTGAGGGAAGACCCCAGATGAGAGTAATGGGGAGATGTGTGCAATAAAATGGGCTCTAGACAGGAATTTCTTCTCTGGAGAGAAGGAGACTGGATTAGGCACATAGACTGAGGTGGCAATGTAACTCTATGAGTAAATGAGATTTCCAAGGAAGAGTGCTCAACAAGGAGAGAAGGAAGGAGGAGTCAGGGGTAGAACTTAAGAAAGCTCCCTCATTTAGGGAGCACAAGGGGAGATGGAGCATGGGGATATATGAGGGTGGTAAGAGAGAGAGGAGGTGAGTGAGTCAGGAAGGTGCTATGTGACAGGCATGGGAGTAGCTTGGTTCAGAGAAAAAAGACAGAGGGTAGAGAAGAACAAGGACTAGGGGAAGATACTGTGTTGGTGGTTAGCTGGTCCTTGCTGAGTTACATGAAGGTAGAGTAGAAGCCAAACTCCAAGGGGTGAAGTAGCAAGGAGGGAGGATCTGGGTAAAGAGAGCAGAGCTTGGATTCTTCTTGAGGACACTGAGCAGCCAAGGCTGATGTACCAGGAAGCAGATGAGGCTTCAGTTTCAGGCCCCTCACCTCGCCAGACCTGTCCCAGGCCCCAGGACACACCCAAGCAATGTGCTCCCATGGTTATGTGACCCGCAAAACTTACAAATGTAAGACAGTTGACTTCGTGTTTTTGAGCTACTTTAACAAAATTCCACAGACTGGTTGGCTTAAACAAATCAATTTATTTCTCACAGATCTGAAGGCTGGAAAGATGGGCACACTGGGTACCAATATGGTAGACTTCTGGTGAGAGCCCTCTTTCTGGTTTGCTGATGGTGTCTTCTCTCCCTGTGTCCTCACAAGGTGGGGGTTGGCAGGACACACACACACACACACACACACACACACACACCACACCACACACCACACACCACACCACACACGCACACACACACCACACACACCACACACACCACACACACACACACACACACACACACACACACACACACACACCACACATCTTCTTTTATAAAATAAAGGCATTAATTCCACCATGAAGGCCCCATCCTCATGACCAACTCTAACACTTATTATGTCCCAAAGAACATGTTTCCAAATTCCATCACATTAGGGAGATAAGGAAATCAACATATGAATTTTGGAGGCACACAAATATTCAGTCTGTAGCAATATTTAGCTATGATCAGTTAAGTCTACTGGCTCTTTCTATTCAAGCTCTTCTTCACTTACAATTTTCCAGAGGTTGAATGGCATTCCAGCATCAGCTTAGAGAACCAGAGTTAAAGTTTATGAGGATATACTGTATGGTTTGCATATCATTAACATCTAGTTAAGTCATTGCTAATAGTTTCAGGAATTCTCACCCCACCCACTGGGCAGACTCACTCAGCATTGACACAAGTGTCAATGAAACCAAGTGTGAATGTGCCTCTTGACATGTGGCTTCAGGAAAAGAGACTAGTGTGTGGACTGTCCTTCCAGTTATGAGGTGAGCAAAATTGCCAGAAGAGGATCCAGTTCTTGTCAAGGCCCAGTCAGAATGTAAAATCTCTCCTTGAGATAGGA